ACTGTTCTTTGTTGATTAATGTACAGATACTAAATGTATAGTCAATTTTTTTCTTTTTCTTTCAATACAATGGAAAAGTTCTCCAATACCAAATTAGAGCCTGAATTATAGAATTTATTTCTAGAGTATTGTGTGTTGAAATGCTTCAATACATTTTTCTTTAAAGCATTTATGATAAATACTTGATATAAAATTGTGTGGGAATGAAAAACAGAAAACCAGGACCTAAAAATGTCTCCCAGATTTTTTGATTTGTCTGCCGACTTCTTTCTCACTACCTCAACTTTCTCCTTTCTAACAGAAGAAAACCCAAGCCTCCTTCTGGGCAGAAGTGTGCAGTTGGAGCTGCCCTTCGACATTTCGCCTTCCACACAGATGCTAAAGAAAACTTTCTTCCTGAATTACTTAATTCATTTATAACACATATTATTTTATTTCTCTTCAAATTTTTTACACATCTCTAAGAAAAAGACAATAGGAAAACATGTCTAATTAATATTCCATTTCAGTTCTGTATAGTGATGTTAGCTCTGTTAACAAAATTTATCATAGATTTTTGAATTGGAGAATCTAAATGCATCATTACAAAAATGCACTAAAAGAAAGACCTGGAAATCGACTGTCGTTGCAGGTGTCACCTCTATAAGAAGGGAAAATGGTCAGTCTTTGAAACGAAAGTTGATTTTTCATTTAAAAGCAATGCTTCTTTAATTTTTTTTTAAAAAAACTAGAATGAACGTGAAAAAAAGACTGAAGATAAAAATGAAGGATCATATTCATCTGTTTGCTAGTAATACAAAAATATAAATAGTGAGAAGAATAAAAATACTTCCATATGTGTGTCATAAAATCAGACTGAGAGAAAGATAAGTATTTTTTCCCTAAAAATGTAGCTTCAATTGTTTCAAAAAGAACAATTGGAGCACAAAATTTATAGTGAGTGAATAGCTTTCTCGCTTAAATTACCATGCTTAAGAAATAGTCCTCTAAATCTCAATGACAACAAATTATAGATTGATAAGAACTAATATGTTCAAATGAAAAATATGAAATAGTTGTTAAAATAATTTCTACCCCATAATCTTTGAAAGTTTTCTTAGGGAGGAGAAAACTTTAGCTAGGTTATCTGATGTTATTAAATCCCCTCTTTGCTCAGAAAAGTATAGTGAGTTTTGCACTCAGCAAAATGGCATCTTGCAACTGTTTTGTAGCAAAAGAGTACATTTTCACTTCAGCCCAGTTACAAAGAACCACTGTGGCATACGAAGCAAACTTGCTCTTAATTGGTCAGAAAGGATGAAAGGTTAAAAAATCTTTGTGGAAGTCTTACTGTAATTGATTTATAAAGTTATTATGATGCCAAGTACTTGGGCCTTGCTATTAAGGTGCTTTTGGTCTGTACTCTGTAGTCAGTCTACCATTTGTAAACACATCTTTTTGATGTTTCTGCCAACATCCTGGCAACAAAGCAGTGCAATTTCAAATGAGCTAATTAACTTAATTGTTGATGAAGCATGAAACAGTTCATTCACCCTGTTAGCTGCACCATGACAACATAGGAGTCTCGGCCTGTGAAGTTACCCATCACTGTAAACCTATCTGCAGCTCTCTGTTAGATATCTCATCTATCAGAATTGTATGTGGAAATGTTTTACAATGTGAATGCTCTCATTTGAAGATGAAACCCATAAGAATTTTTAAAAAATAAAATACTATTATATGAAGAAATTAAAGACAAAGTTTCATTTTAAACTAGAGAAGCCATGTATGTTTCTTTATGTTTCTGAGAAAAAGGAAAATGTGAAGAAAGGCAGTTATTTGAAATACCATTAATATTTCATTTTAAAATTCTTTTTGTTAAATATCATTATATTTGGAAGTAGAGGGTATAAAATCTGCAATTAAAATATAAACATGCAAAACATAACCATTAAATATATAGAAACTTTATTCACCTATTTTCTGCAATTTTTATTGAAACTTAAAATTTAAGAGAATTTTAACTTTAAAAACATGTCTCCCATAGATTAGCAACTATTTTAGCATACTAATACATTTACTTAATTTAAAACTCTTATTAAATGCTTTGTAAAATATTTTCACAAACGGAAAAAGATGACTTCCTTAGCCTGACTTTGCTAATCTACTTGTTGGGACAGAAAACTTTGAAAGACTTAGGGATGGATTTTTTTTCATTCCTTCTCCATCTTTTATTCAAAACAACATGCGTAAAACTCTTATAATCCATCTCCCTCCACATAAAGTTAAAAACCTACTTTAAAAACTGTCCAAAATCTTCACAAATGCTTTCACAGCCTGGCCATTTGCAAACTCCATGGCCATAGAGAGTGTGCGAGGCCCCGGTTTCCTCGTGTGATGAGCTGTAGGAAAAGAACACAACGTCAGATTCATCTCCAGAAGCCATAATCGCTGCAGGCTGCTAGCGCCTGTCAGGTTACAGTCAGTGACAAACAGGTCAAAACAGGTCAATTCAGCTCAGAGCAGTCAGAAAAATTTAATCGTTCTATTGAATAGTTCAACTGCCAAGGCTAGATGATGTTCCAATTAGAGGAGAAATAGAGCCAAAGATGACTGTTAATAAAGGATGAAAAACTAAGAGGACTGTATAATACCATATGCTAATCCTGCCATATGACCTTAATGTAACATTCTGCATCTAAATAATAAATATAGATTCCTATACAGACAGGTGGAAAAGTGTATTTTTAAGAAAGCCAAAGGTAGTAATCATAAGGTTTTGTATATATTTCTACTAGGTACATTTGGTTTTAAAAATTTTACTTTGAAACTATACCACTAATTATATCCTTACATAATCATCGTAGGCTTTTGATAAGCGAGCTCTATATCAAAAAGCCCCTAGAGAAGCCAACCAACTTGTGATACACAGTCACCAAACTGATCTAAATTAAAACAACAATATGAAAACATTCAGAGGCATACCTATTTCTACTAGGTACATTTGGTTTTAAAAATTTTACTTTGAAACTATACCACTAATTATATCCTTACATAATCATCGTAGGCTTTTGATAAGCGAGCTCTATATCAAAAAGCCCCTAGAGAAGCCAACCAACTTGTGATACACAGTCACCAAACTGATCTAAATTAAAACAACAATATGAAAACATTCAGAGGCATACCATTTTAAAATATTAAAAACCAGGACAAGAAATTTTCCACTCTACTCAAATGAAGACCAGGAACATTACCAAATAATATTTTATTTTAAACTACATTATAATTAATTTTTTCTCAAAAAATAATTTGACAATCTGTCGCAACGAGGCAGACATAGTTATATTATGTAAATGAAAAATATCAATCTGGGACACTTATATATGAAGGTAGAGCTATGTATAATGAGACTAACCCACTCTTTTATGAAATTCTACACTTGACTTACATATATTAGAAAGAGACTCTTTTATTTTAAGCATTACTGTAGCTTATACATGTCAGGTAAACTGCTTGAGAGGACTTAGTGAGATGCCTGAATAAATGTAACCAAACAGACAAAAGTAACTAGATGCTCTATTTGCAAAGGTCTTTTTCACCCAAATAAAACAAAACACAGCAGTTATTTAACATAATGCATTTAAATTTGGTAACTGAAGTAAAATAATTTTTCTATATGAATTTTTTGTCAGGTTTATTCTTAAAATGAACAGCATGCATTTATTTTCATGTATACAAATTCTATCGCAACCAAAAAGGCACACATTCATCAATCTTCTGGTTTATTATGCCTGAGTTAATATATTTCTCTGCATCTATTCCTTTAATTTCTGAGCACATATTTGAAACATATGAATAAGGATATGTATACATGCATCCGTAATTATTTGAAATTAAACTACTGGTGTTTAGCGTAAAATGGTAAAATGTTTCCACAGCAATCATGGTAATCACAATACGTTAGTTATCACAATGTAATGGCATAGTCATTCCACATGCATTTTTGAAAGCGAAGACTCCTTGACTACACCTATCAGACTGCTGGCATGTGAACCACTTTTTTATAATGAAAAATAATAGGTAAGATCAACAATACAACTTTGCCTTTACTTGTCATTCTATACATATTGTCCCTTTCAGCATTAATTACTATTTTTAGTTTTATAACTTGTGAAAATGAAATCTGGTGATGGATAAGTGGTAAGTATAGTGAACGCGTTTACCTGTCTCTCCTTGCATTCAGAACCGAAGACTGTCCGTTCACTATGGAATGATGAGTTATTGGTGGTGATGCTTTGGAAGTGGTGGAGGAGGTAGTCGAGGAGGAATTGTTAGTAGTGAGGTCTAGCCCTCCATGTTTAATGCCATTGTCTTCCATATTGTGAACTCCAGTCACTTCTTTCCATAACTGCTGAATCTCAGCAGGACTTAAGCCAGCTATAAAATGAAAGAAAGCTCCACTAATAAAACAAGGTAAAGTTCACATGGTGAGTCTGGATTTATCAATAGATTAATGCCAACAACAGAGTGATGTTACCATCACTAATTAATATGCAATAAAAGTAACTTTTACACGAAGAGCACCAACTTATTTATTTGCTAAAATTAACAATTTGAAAATACTACTGGGAATACTGGGAATAATATTATGGGTTAATAAGAAAAAATTCCTGAAAGTTCTTTTGGAAAATTAAACAAATTTTCCTCTAATTTTTCCTTTAGCAGTTTGTACTTACTGCTAGGATTACCAGTGAAGAACTGAAAGATAACTAGATATTAAAATAACACATTTCAAATGAAGTGTAAAGAAGAAAAAAAAGGAGGAAAATATATCAGCAAAAAATAGTAACACTCAACTAAAAAGAAGAAAGAGATTTGACAATTATCTGGGTACTTTGATATTTTTCAGAGAGGCAAATTAAATAACCAAATTTCATTTTTGTGTCCTGTATAAACCAATCTGGTTACTTACACTAATCAACTAAGTAAATAATATATAAAACTTTCCTTCATTTATGACTAATACTTATAAAAGTTAACTAATCATTTTAACAATTACCTGGACCAAGTAATGCAAATTTACTTGATTGTGCCATAATAAAAATAGAAAAGCTAACACTGTCTTTTGTTTTTCAATTATAATTGTGATGTAAGTTATTGAGAGATCATTTTTTATAGTATTTAACAAAAATAGTCTTTATATGTGTAAATATTGTGGCTTTATATATTCTTTATATACTATATGCTCTTTAATCAATGTAATCTAAAATAATTGTATTTCTTATCCAAATTATAGATAACAAAAGAGAAAAACAGGTTAAAAATGTGCTCAAGGTCACAAAACAAGCAAACAAAGGTTAAATGGCAAAGACATTACTTAAATCCAGGCAGTCTGACTTGAACTTCTTTGCTCTTACAATGCTATTAAATGTATTAAAGTAATTAATAAGGATTTGCAGGAGGCAATGAAGCTGTAATCATTATTACCATCATTTATTGAGCACTTACAATATTCTGTGCTTGCTTAATGATTTCATATTCGAAATCTGAATTAATTTCACTGAGGTTAGGAATCATATTTTATAGACAGGCACAGAGGCTCAAAACACAAAAAGTCCCCACATCGCACAAGTCACAACCAGTGTATGAAACTCAAAGCTAATACCACTCAGCTCCAAAGCCCATGCTTTTGATTACTGTGTATTAGAACTGTTACTTGAACCCTTTCCACACGCAACCCAAAACACATGCATCAGAACTACAGTATTGGTGACTGGGCAAGAGATGTGTGGGCAGGGTGGGCTGGCACAGGCCGAGATATGGGGCAAGGTCATAAACCTCTCACTTGCACCCCTGCAAGTGACAAAACCACTGATCTAGACACAACTGTCAACAACCAACACTGACACGAAGAATTTCCATCACTCCAAATGATACCTCAGGCCAAATTAGTAGCTGCAATGGTAACCTTCAAGTTTTAATGGCTATCACAGTCCATATAGGTAGTTTTACCAAAACCTGTCTTTTGAATGATTCTGGGTCCTCAAAAATTTTTTCTTAAACTGTCCAAGCAGGTTTACTGCTAAACCTGAGACGGCCCCTCTCTGTGCAAGCAGAGCAAAGAAGGGGTCACTTATAGGCTCAGAGGGTTTTTAAGAGAGTTTTTGCTCTTGTTTTTGGAAGGCTTTTGAGGGGCATGGGTCAGATAAATAAATGGTGGGCTTGTGACTTGTTGGTGTGTCCCATGTCCCCTGCAACCTGTGGACATGTCCTCGGGGGACTGCTCGTGGCCTGCCACGTGTCCTCTGGGACCTAAGAAAATGAAGCCTCCATTTCTCTAAGATGGCAGGTGGGCCCATTCGAACCTGCAGTGCTTGTGTCCAGGCTCTGTCACGGTTTAGGCAATGTGGTGACTTATCAAGACCCTGTTTCAAAATAATGGGCCGGGGACGTAGCTGGCAGGAAGGCCCTGGGTTTAATTCCAAACAGTCTCAAGAAAAAAGAAACAAAATCTATCACAAAACCCCATAAAATAGACTGAACTACTCAGTAACCATTTCACAAGACATTCAATATATGCAGGGAATAATCCTCATCTTTAATTATCAGGGAAATGCAGATCAAAACAAAATTTCACTTCACCCAGTTAGAAGGACTATTACCAAAAAAACAAAGAGCAAGTGACTTGCAGCGAAGGGCAGAACTCTCAGATGCGGTCGATAGGAGTGTTACTATGGCCATCATAATAAATAGGATGGAGTCCCTCCAAAGGGAGAAACTGAGTCCCACTATTGGGTTTGTAGGCACATAAAATAATTTAAGTCAAAGATATCTGCACTTGTATGCTTACTGCAGCAATATTCACATGAACCAAAAATGGAATCAGTGCAGGTATCCATCCACAGGGGAATGGACCAAGGTGACAGAGTACTATTCATGCAGCAAAATAAATAAAATTCTGCCATTCGTAACATGGATATAATTGGAAGACTTCATGTCGAATGAATTTCTAGGCAAAAGGCAAGTATGATGCAATCACGCTGAGGTGGAACCCATATTTCTCATAAAATAAGGCTGACGATGGGCGCTAAAATAGGCCCAAGGAATTATGGGAGTGCAGCTGCACATCAGAGTGCCTATGGAGTTACACTTATCCCAATAAACACTGTCGTATAGACAGTGTTTAAATAAGACAGGACACCCAAAGATACGTAAACGTTTCATGCATTAAATCCATTCCAACTCATATATGATTACTTAATAAAAAATTTTACTGTGCTCTACTTTTATTTTCACTAAATTCTCCATGACCAGGCTAGTCATTACTTATTCTGATGATCAATGACCGAATGGGGCCATCTCTGTAAAAAATGCTATTGAGACTGTCCCATGGGTTGATATAAATTTTCAGTTTTACTTGCAACTCTATTTTGAATCCTAACAGATGATTAAAGGCTTGGCTAACTTAGCACTCTGGGAGGCTGAGACAGGTGGCTCTTCACAATTTTAAAACACAGCCTGAGATGAAAGAAAACACAAGATTATTCAGGTTTCTGGAGTTATTTGAGAATAACTTGATTTTTGTCAATAAAGAAAGAGAGAGTGACTTTATAAGAATGGGTATTTTCTCTAATACAGAAAAATGATGTTTTTTCTTTTACATAGAAATCACAATTGCTTTAATTCTAGCTTTCAGGTAGCATATAGAAACTTTTAAAATGCCTATCTGTATTGCTAGGTGTCCTGGTTTAGTTGTAGCCTTCTGCTGCCTCTCCAATGCACACAATACTTGCAGTCTTGATAGCTTGAGTTTTGCTAGTCCCACAACCCAGCTATCGCTCTTCAGGTCCTCCCAGGGCTTCCTCCTGCCTCCACTTCGTTGCCTCAAGGTCCCCTCCAAAGTGGGCTCTTTCACCAAACTATGAACCCCCACCCTTCCCCACTCTGCCTCTGAGCATTCCTAAATGCCCATCCTACTCTATCTTTTCTTTCAGAACATTTATTGATTTCTGAAGCCATCGATCAGCTGATCTATTTCTTGACATCACCATTCTCTTACCACTAACATTTAAGTTTTACAAAAGATATTTCTTCTTTTAATGTATAATCCCAGTACCCCTGAATAGTATCTAGTAGGTGTGCTATGCATATTTATTAATTTCATTCATGATAAGAAAATCATACAGTTCTTGAAGACACATTGATTTCCAGATGGGGATTCTGTGGCTCTTACATAATACCCTATTGATGAGCGTTGCTATCATAAGACCAATGTCTGAAGAATTATAAATGGGACCAGTTGCTTCTAACATTTTGTATCTTTACAATACACAATGCTTTGGAGGGCTACATCAGCTAATGATGTCATTAATTTAGTTTTTAGGTTTTGTTAATAATTCTGTTAATGTAAGTGCACAATTACTTTCAAAAGCTTTCCATGATACTCTTCATTGTACTGAATAGCGATAAAGCTATTGGGCAAATGGGAGGGGCAGGGGAGATGTAAAGCGGGAAGATAAAAAAAATAAGAGAAAAGGAAAAAAATGGAAACAAAGTCTTTGTAAATAGGGAAGGGTGGAGGGGGGAAGGGAGGTGAGGGGAAGGGGCAAAAACTAACCAAAATATGCCACGTGAAGGTACGAGATCCCAATGAGGAAGGTGACTGTACTGCATACCTAAAATGTACCAATAGAGATGCAGTTTATAATAAAAAAAAGAAAAGTAGTAATATTGTCATTCTGTGGTAAACAAGCAAATGCTAGCTACTTACTGGGCCCTCAAGAAACATTTGATAAATAACCAGTTCATTAGCCAAAGAGTGTTTCTTAATTAAAATCTGAGGGAAATGGCTTTCCAATGTTTTATGTAAGTGTCAGAGAACAGAAAAATTAAAAAAAAATTCCTTTCAGTAACAGTGGTTGCCAAAAATGTCTGCACATTACAACACCCGCGGGAAATTTCAAAACTTCCAGTGTTCTGACCATAGTCCAGATCAATGAAACCAGAATTCTGGAGGCGGGATACAGGAATCAACTATTTTGGGAGCCCACTGGTGGTTCCAAGGCACAGATAATTTGCAGGTATCTTAACAAGGAAACTCTCACCTTGCTCTCAGGACAAAGTTTTCACATCTGATAATAGCTTGGCTCTTTCCTTAATGGCCACAAAACTATTTATGAATACGAAACTATGAGCCAATCATTGTTGTGCAGTTTTGAACATTTTATGATTTTTTGAAGGCCAAGATTATTTTTCAGGTAGTTATATAAAATTCAGTTAACCAGTGTCCTACGGAGCACTAACCTTCTAACTACTGTTCATCTAAGAGGTGACGCTAATAGGAGGCCCATGATTCAGGTAAAGCAGTTCTGAGGTGTTTAGTAACAAAGAAAACTTGAGTCCTGTAGCTCAATCTTGTCCTTGTAGATTTGGAAAAA